TATCACCTTCAGCATGTTGATTTTCTGTGCAGTCTGGATCACCTTTATTCCAGCATATGTCAGCTCTCCTGGGAAATTCACTGTAGCTGTGGAGATATTTGCCATTCTGGCCTCCAGTTATGGACTTCTTTTTTGCATTTTTCTGCCAAAGTGTTTCATAATTTTGTTCAGGCCTGAGCAGAACACTAAGAAACACATAATGGGAAAGACATCTAACAGTGACATACGTTAGTAACCATTGCCCAAATCACGTGGAATGTAATTTTCCTCTTTTAAAACCAAAATCAGTGCTTCTTATTTTTGTAAAATTGTATATCTTAATGCAGTTAAATAGATTTTAGTGAATAAATCTTTAATTATATTCAAGTTTGTTGTTTGTTTGTTTGTTTGTTGTTGTTTTTTTTAAGATAAACAACCCTTCCCCATGACACACACTATTCTGTTTTTCATCCATTCATAAATACTTTTCTGCCTTTTAGGTAGCCCTTAATTTCAATACAATGTTGAGCATCAAACTTCCACTAAAGCTGAGTCTTTATATTTTGTTACAAAAGCACAATTTAAAAAATCATGTTTCAGGGGACTGGTGTCTTCACCAAGTGGCTCAATAATAGCCCATTTACAGACTTATAGACTGCCTGGGGCTGCAGGCCTTTTACACTGCAGGGAATGTTAGCAACAACGTGTATGACTGAGTCATTAAAATCCCTGCTCCAGCCAGCAGGGGCACTGCTAAGTAAACACGTCAGCACTCACTCATCTTCACGTCCCCTCTTTGCAAAAAAATAAATAAAAATAAAATAAATACCAGATGGGTGTAGACATGAGTTTACCATTATTAAAAAAATGTCCACTGTTGGCCATGGAGTCCCCTGTTGGTGAATGTGTAATGACACACGGGTCCACTGTTAGGTAGGTTCACAGGTGTGCGTGCACACACACACGCACACGCGCACACACACACACACGCACACACACACACACACACACACACACACAATAAGAAGAAATTCTGAAAGCACTGCAGCTTCAAAAATGATAACACATAACCAATGTGAAAATATTCCCCTGTCTAATGAATGATTATGTAAGTAGGACTAGACTCCTCTGTTGCACCAAGACCACATTATCTTCATTTATGATGTTTGCCTTTTGATAGATATATTCTAGATATATAATACACACATCTAGAGGTTATATTTATCTCCAACACATTCTCATCTCAAGTTGTCAATTATTGTATATTCACCATATTTGTCAGTGGCCTTTCATGTCTTAAAGTTATGTGCTAGATATCCTCCTGCATCTGCAGTATGTTCTCATCCCAAGTCATCACATATCAACGCTTTGTCATACATATTACAATCAAAGTATCCTGCTGCATCTGCTGTTGATGTTCTGGGAGACCAGTACCAGCGCTGGGACATCAACAAAAGCACATGGTTAGGTTTACAAAACACATCTTGATTTGACTACATTCATACCAGAAATGAACACCTGGCACCAAGGTGAAAGTCAGGGACTTTGCAGCTCCTTATATTATGTGATTACTGGCATTATTTCAACCTGAAACCATCCTGCAGCGAATCATAGCACTGTGGCAGGTGTCGTCTGGCTTCTTAATGAATTGATGGCTCCCGTCCGAGTATCACGCTGCCGTGACAGCAGTGTATCATAACAACTAAAGGTTACATCTGGCCATGTTACAAACTGATGCTGCCTGGTGATCCATCAAACCACTGCAAAAGGTGGTTTTTGCCGTCAGGTGTCTGACATCAAAATTACTGACAATACAGCTGTATTTGACAACTTTGAAATGAGTATAGGCTGTTATTTCTTACTATCCCTCATTTTTGGACAAATATTGACTCAGTGTGCAAAGGCCTTAAACACAGGATATGTGGGCTAGATGCTAACTACTTTTCATTTTTTGTCTTAATTACAGTTGAAATGTATACTATGGTTAAATGCGCAACAGTCTAGATTACTGTTACACGGGATGTGGGCATAGGAGGCATGAATATATGATATACTTTAAAATGATTCTTTGTTAAAACCACACTCAATTCATGAATAAAAAGCCTCAACAGAGTCAACAGCTCAGGAGGGGCAGAGGAGTCTGGGTTCTTACAAAATCTTTCCTGGGTTGACACAGCTCTTCCACAAGATGGTTTATTGAAACTGAGCACAATGAAATAGACAGTCAATATTTTGAGAAATATTGAAGAATATTGAAAAGTATACTGTGCAGGATGTGCTTTCCGAGAAGAAGTACAAATAAAATAAAATAAAGTAAAAGCCAACCTCTTACCTGAGCACTGTGGGGGAACATGCCCATAAAAGTCTGCACAGAGAAAATGGAAATTTAAAAAGAATTCAGGCAGAGGGTCTCTGCAGAAAAATACGCTGTCACCTATTTCTAGTGGGTCATAAGTGATGAGGATTACTTACGTTTTTAACAAAAAAATCTGCATTGTATATCTTAAGTGCAAAGTATGCAAGCTACACTAGCAACTCTTGTTCACCCCCTTTCAGTTAAATTATAGCTAAAATGTGAACTGTAATGTAAAGCATGTCTAATTCTCCCTGTTGTAATCAGGTGTATTCAGATAAAAGGATAGGTTTGTGTTTTTCCAGGATTATCTAAATACAGTACTCACATGCCAATATGTACATTAAACTAGTTATCAGTCCCTCTCATCATTATTCCTGTCTATACTGAGGGTAAAATAACCCAGATTTCGTTGATAGTGGTATGGTGGCCTTTTTTTTGACATTTTAGGCTCTGCCTGTCAGACCAAATCCAAGTTGTACATTTTCATGCTCAATCTCCTTAACTGTACTTTCTCTTCTCAGCTTAACGTTTTCTTAAACAAACATTTAAGGCAAATCAATAAGTTATAGTAAGTTAATTACAGTGGGAAAAATGATGTGAAGGGAAAGTAAATGAAAATTCACACTGAAATTCAAATATGATGCAATACAGCAGAAATAAAGGTCACATGTGTACAAACATAAAAAAACACACAAGAAAAACAGTGGGAGAAAAATAAGTCCCCATCTGTTGTAAGCATGACTTCATTACCCAGTGGCTTGACTCAAGTGGGAAAGCTACAGCAGGGCCCCACAACACTGACACTGGAGATTAAACATTACAGACTGCTTCATCCTTTTAGACAACAACAGGAACCGCAGCTGGCATATTGCTTCAAGCAGAAACAACAGGGTCTGTTAATTAACATCATTGTCACAACATGTAAATGTTACATTTTAAATCACTTAAGGGTTTGTTTTGATCTTTCCTCTGCTTCCTTGTTTATTGTTTTTCCTTTTAGCTCTTAGATCAGGACTGCTGTACCATGCCACTGTTGCCTTATTAGCAAACTAAAAGAAATGTTGTAGTTTTAACCATTGGCACTATAGCCTATCATAAATTTATATGTCACTATTGATCATGTTTTGGACTACATACTCTTTAGTTAGAGAGACACGAAGGCCCTAAATCACCAGTCAAATGCCCTCTGACATGTGCTGCAAACATTATAGAATATTCTGACATTCTAAATTTTTAAGAAGACAAGTTATAGCCCCAATAATGCATTATAGCAAATACCATGTCCTGTCTATTCTGACTTTGCAGGTACAGTATGACAGGCCTGCATAATACCACATAAGGAGCACTTAACCACTGAAATGTTATTTTCATCATATTCAAAATTTAAAATGGATTTTACTCTCATTGCTAAGAAAATAAATCAATAATAAGTGAAAGAGGCATTTCCCTTTACCCCTACCTCTGAGTGCAATTTATCCTCATATAGCGGTTCATATGATATTCTACAAAAATGCACACACAACAGTTCATTAAGTATCCTACGAATTAGCGACCCACAAATGATGTAATATCCTTTACGCAAAGTTACTTAATTAACATAAATTTAGGTTTAGGCAAGTTATGTTACTGTTAGGTTTAAGAAAATATCCTGGTTTAGGTTAGAATAAATACTTTGTTGGACATGGACAGTGGTCTCCTCCGTGAAAGTCCCGTGTTTGTTTGACCTGCCCATCCGCTCAGACCTACTCTCTATGCCAACTTTATCGCTCTTTAAAATACATCACCTGACTTCCTCTTTTGATCAGCCAAAATTACTACACCCACTAGAGGTTGCAGCCTAATAATGAACGTAAATATAAGTTGCAATAAGAAGCATGCACAGACGACCTATATGGACATTATTTGGGGAAAGGCCAGCTTGGCATAATAGTGATATACTGTGTTAATCATGAAATGCTCATGGAGAGCACACCCCCCAAAAGACTTTACATTCTACTAACTTTATTATAAGAAAATGTTGGACAAAAAAAAAATAAATAAATAAATTTAAAAACAAATACCTGGTTTGGAATCAGAATGCAAGCATTTATAGACAGTCATGGTAAACAGTACATACATGATTGTTGGTTTTCTTCCTCATTGAAATAATTTCAGCATCACATGAGAAAACAGTGTTTGAATATATTTAAAAATCCTCTTTCACAATGTTAAGAAATTGTTAGTTTTGTTTATTTGACTCATGACCTTACCTCTTGCAAAAAATTAAGATATCCTATTAAGAAAAAAATCAACAAGCAAACGGGTCAGACTTCTTTAATTTTTTTGTGAGGGACACAAATAAACAAACAAACAAACAAAAGGCCTAAAAAGATGGAAGTTTCAACCAAAGAGATTATAATCAAATAGTTATTAATCCCAAAGTTTGTCTATTTGATACTCTTCAATTACTGTACATCGCACACCTTTTTTTTCCTCTGTCCCCATGGGTACCTACCTCATTTGCTTTACACCCTAAAGCAGCAGGTCCATGGATGGGAGCATGGACTTGAACTAGGTTGAACAGGTCTTGGTAGGGTATAAAGAGTGACAAGGGGCAGGAGTTAAAGAAGCCAGTCTGAAGAGAGTAGCAATGCCTCAACTGAATTTGGTCCTGCTGGTTCTTCTGATCAGGAGCGGAACACCTGTGTGTCAGTTACAGGGGAGGACACAACCTTCTGAGCTGTCCAAGGCTGGAGACTTTGTCTTAGGTGGCATTTTCACCTTGCGCACTGGGTACAGAGGCAGTGTGCCCAGCTTTCAAACCTCACCCGACCCTCCAACATGCCTGCAGTAAGTATTTTTGATTCTGTTCAGTTATGTGCTTTCTTGTTCTATACATTTATTTGCAAATCAAATAATAAAAAATGTATTTTTGTCCTAGCATCAACGTAAGAGAATTCAAATTTGCCCAGACCATGATCTTTGCAATTGAAGAAGTAAATCAAAATCCTGCTATTCTTCCCAACCACACTCTGGGCTACAAGATACACAACTCCTGTGGAATGACAAAAATTATAAAGTCTGCCATAGATTTAGCCAGCGGGCAGAGGGAGGTCATAAAAGAGAAGAACTGTACAAAGGCTGACACTGCACAGGCTGTACTAGGCCACTCTGGCTCTGCACCCACAGTGGGATTTGCTCGAATTTTAGGAAGGTTCAGGATACCAGTGGTAAATATTTTACCTTAATTAAGTTTATTAAGAGCTTGTTTCTAAATCACTGTCATTTGAGTTATAGTAATTCTGGATTTCAAAGAGCTTCTTGACTAACTTGTCTAATAATATAGATTCTATCTTCTTTTGTAGTATATGAGATTTTTCTGGATGATTAACATATAATGAAGAAATTTCTTTTCTGTCTAAATATATTTTGCACAGCTCAGCCACTTTGCAACCTGTGCATGTCTCAGCAACAGAGAGGAGTTTCCATCCTTCTTCCGAACTATCCCCAGTGATCTCCACCAGAGCAGAGCCCTGGCGAAGCTGGTCAAGCACTTTGGCTGGACCTGGGTAGGGGCAATAAGCAACAAAAACGACTATGGTATTAACGGGATTGCCACATTTATACAAGCTGCACAAGAAGAGGATGTGTGTGTAGAGTATCATGTGGCATTTGAGCAAACAGGTCCTCTTCATGAGTTATCAAAAGTAGTTGAAACTGTGAAGTACTCCACCTCTAAAGTCATTGTGGCATTCATGTCTCACAGAGAAGTGAATGTGTTGGCGACTGAGTTGTACAAACAGAACATAACAGGACTGCAGTGGGTTGGCAGTGATGCCTGGATCACAGATCACTCTCTGACTGACAGTGAGGGACACAGCATCCTCGTGGGCTCGCTAGGCTTCACTGTCAGCAAAGCTCAGATCCCGGGGCTGGAGGAGCACCTGAGGCAGCTCCACCCCTCACAGTTTCCTGACAGTCAGTTTGTCAGAGATTTCTGGGAAGACGTGTTTGACTGCACTCTGAATGATACTGCAAACACACAAAGAAAGCTGTGCAGTGGCAATGAGAGCTTGCAGAATGTTGAATCATATTTCACAGATGTTTCTGAGCTGAGATTCACTAATAATGTGTACAAGTCAGTTTATGCAGTGGCTCATGCTCTCCACAGCCTGGTCACATGTGAAGAGCAGAGAGGCCCCTTCTTAAATGGGAGCTGCACTGATACTACAAACATTCAACCATGGCAGGTCAGGAAGAAAACAAAAAGTCTATCTGTTTATATCCCACGAAATGCAGATGTTATTTGGAAACACATCTGAGTTTCAAATCAAAAGAGCCTGCTGTGTTTAAATAAGACCTTCCTCTTCCCTTCAGGTGCTACATTACTTACAGAATATCAACTTCACAACAAGTCAGGGGGAAAGAGTGATGTTTGACCAAAATGGAGATTCACCTGCAAGATATGAGCTCATAAATTTACAACAAGTGACCTCAGGGACCATGCATGTTTCCACAGTTGGGATTTTTGATGTCACTCTGCCCCCTGAGCGTCAGTTTATAATGAATGGCATGAAGATAGTGTGGGGAAGAGAAAGTCACACGGTACATATTCATATTGCTTTGTTTTCACATTTCTGTTTTGTTAGTCACAATGCCATACTGCATAATATTTCATAACTGACAATAATAAAGTACAGCAAAACTGGTGTTCACATTTTCTCAATGAAATTTAAGTGACTTGTGATCACCTAAAAAACAGTGAACACAAAAACAAAATTCCTCCACATATTCCTGCACCAGGTGCCTGTGTCAGTGTGCAGTGAGAGCTGCCCCCCAGGAAAACGCAAAGTCCTGCAGAAAGGAAAACCTGTTTGCTGTTATGACTGTATACCATGTGCAGAGGGAGAAATCAGTAACATCACAGGTTTGATTAAGAAACACAAAAATGTTATATGCTCTGTCTGGAATTTGCTATTCCCTTTCCATGCATGCATATGACCTAATCAGTGTTTTTGTCTCTTTCAAACACAGACTCTATAGAGTGCTTCAAATGTCTCTTTGATTATTGGCCGAATACCAGAGGAGACACTTGCATCTTAAAGGAAATTGAATTTCTGTCTTACGCAGAGATCATGGGGATCATTTTAACATTTTTTTGTTTGATGGGGGCGATTTTGACAGCTATGATAGCATTAGTGTTCTTTCACTTCAGAGAAACTCCTATTGTGAGGGCCAACAACTCTGAGCTGAGCTTCCTGCTGCTCTTCTCCTTGACTCTGTGTTTCCTGTGTTCTCTGACCTTCATCGGCCGGCCCTCTGAGTGGTCCTGCATGCTGCGACACACAGCATTTGGCATCACCTTTGTTCTCTGTATCTCATGTGTACTAGGAAAAACAATAATAGTGTTAATGGCCTTAAAAGCAACACTTCCAGGTAGTAATGTAATAAAATGGTTTGGGCCTGCACAGCAGAGGCTCAGTGTTCTGGCTTTCACTCTCGCACAGGTTTTAATTTGTATACTTTGGCTGACCATCAACCCTCCATTTCCCTACAAAAATATGAACCACTATAAGGATAGGATTATACTGGAGTGCGCTTTGGGATCACCTGTAGGATTCTGGGCTGTACTAGGATACATAGGACTCTTAGCTGTGTTATGTTTTGTACTTGCTTTTTTGGCTAGAAATTTACCAGACAATTTCAATGAAGCTAAATTCATCACCTTCACCATGCTGATATTCTGTGCAGTCTGGATCACCTTTATTCCAGCATATGTCAGCTCTCCTGGGAAGTTCACAGTGGCTGTGGAGATATTTGCTATATTGGCCTCCAGTTATGGCCTTCTTCTCTTCATTTTTATCCCCAAATGTTATGTTATTTTACTGAGGCCTGAACAAAATACCAAAAAGCATGTAATGGGCAAAACAAAAGATATTCACTATTAATTTTATGTTGTTGTGATTCCTTTCTATTTTTCCCCCTTATTTATTATCACTAATTATTTACTCAGTGTCTATGTCTAAGTTCTAAAATCACATTTTCCCCCCATTTTGTTATGGACACTACCATTCTTCTTGAAGTACTAGTACTAATATTAAAAGTGTTAATATTGAATTTAATAATTAACCATTACTCAATAAACAATAAATATAAATTTGCATTGCATAAGTATTTGAGTATCCCCACTTACTGACATATATATTTTTTCTACTTCACACCAGTGCATGTGTGGAGCATGTACACTATTACATTATGATAAGAAATCCTGAACAGTTCCCAGCATTATTAACTTCATGTACCACTTCTCCACTTCATGTACATATCATGTACACATCCACAAATACAAACACCTTGTGTAGCATAAACAAAGCCTTGTATATGATTCGTCTATTCCTGCCTCCATCCATGCTTAACATGACTTGTCATAGTAATGATATCTTATCCCTACTTCTCCCTAAAGATAATATTTTTCAAATCAATAGTCATGCAGTAACTTTGTCAAGAAAATGTTTTTCTCACATGCCTCTAGGTAAAAAGGGTGAACATATTGATTTATTGATTGAAAAGAGACCTCATTTAACAACAGCAAAACTGTATCAAAACATCCATTTACAAAGTCACACATGGCAGTAAAATCTAAGTCTCAAATATCCAGTTGCATGCCCAGTACTTCCCAAACACGTGCATTTCTGCTGAAACATTACTGTTTTAAACTGAACCGAAACAGAGACTTATCTATGCTCTCTTCACAGCTAGACTACAAAACTAGTTTCATAGTGAAAATATAATCTTAGTATACAACTGCATAAATGAGACTTGGATTAAACTGCAGGAGTTGTGTAAGAGTTTGTAAGTGGATATTTAGGACTAACTGATATACAAATAGTCATTTTGTGGGTGAAGTATTCCTTTAATACTTGTGCATTTTCTGGTGTGACTTGTCTTAATGTCATCCCTGAGAAAGCTGCAGAGTGTATTGTGGAGGGCTATACTGCAGGGTGAAGACAGAACAACATGCAACAAGCATTACTGTAAAACTTCAATTAATAGCCTGGCCTATTATTTGCTTAAATCACTGAAATCTACAGGCCTATATTTGGGACAGGCCTTTAATTCCTTTCACACAAAACTGCTGCTCAGCAAAGATCAGGAAATATAATCAATTTGTTTATTTAAACCAGTATGAATATTACTTGTTGAAAAAATAGGCTTCAAGTAATATATATCATATATCAATTATGAATCATCCATTTGACTTGGATTAATTTTTATGAAAAACTCTTTTGATTCTTTTGATCTGAGGACCCTTATGGACTAAAGGAATATGAATAACCTACGGGCTAATTGAGGAATGCACACATAATTTGAGATAGTCAACAACACAGTTATATACATCTGAAGAACTTCTATAAAAAATTGCTTGGCAACCAGACCAGGCATCTAATTGAGACAGGCTTTTATTTGTCAAAATGTCCTACTAGCCAAACCAGGCTAGTAAAAGGGACTAGGCATTTAATTAGTACTGGGCTTTTAATTTCAGTTTTACGGTAGATGGTGGCACATGCAGGTTTTTTAGCAGTAATTCACCAATTAATAGTTTTCACTGGTGCAGCCCATGCAGTTATAGATTCTATACAGACCCTAGGTGGAAAATTGTTTAATACAAATTTTACGCTCGACAGAAAGAGCAGAAATTGAATATTCTCTTCATCCATCTGCACCGACTGTTTGTGTATGTTAAAAAGACTTCAGTACTGACCTCTCCCAACATTTATTTTTAATGTATTCAGTGTTTATACTCAAAAAACAGTCATGAACATGCATTCACTATGTATTGCTGCTTTACAGAATCAGCTGTAAAAACCTAAAGGCCTTACTCGAGTCAGTCGCAGTAAGTAGTACTTTAAACCTATAAGACTGATTGTTATTAGGAAACAAGGCCCATGTGAATTGCTGTCAGATTCATTCTCCATGCCTGACATCCTTTAGGTCTGCACACACAAAAAAAGGTATTGCATGTACCTCAGAGAATGGACCACTGTTGCCTCCTACACCTGAGTAACAGACAGGAAGCTATAAAACACATCCTTGCAAGAATCCTGACTGTGCCAAAGGCAAGGCTCTGAGATGACAACAGTCACATTTGTCTTCTTAACACTGTTCACTTGGATGGTGTCATCTGGCACATGGCCCAGACTGGATCGGCGCACTGAGCTCAGTCACTATGATGAAGAGACCAAGAGCTGCAGCTCAAGTGCATCATTTAAAAATGCTGTTATTCATGACAAAACAAAACTGACACTGACACATGAGAGGTGAGTAAATTGTTAAATTACTGTTTTCTCAATTTCCTCCACTTTTATCTTGCTCATTAACTTGCTTTTTGTTTTGTCAAGGACCTGGATACCCCAGTGTGGTTTCCCACAGATTCACCAGCAATTAGTTTGTAATTTAATGATTTCCTCAGCGGAAAACCAGTCTGAATTATGGGGGCCTAAACACCATATTGAGAGACCCCTCAAAAGACAATTAGACGATCTCTAGAGGAGCTTTTTCAATTACAGTTTGGAGTCATTTACTGTAATCATATACACAGTAACAGTGTCACAGTTGAGCTATTATGCTTTTTAAATTGCACTGTTAGATCTGAAGATGTTTAACTTTTTTTTTTTTTAATTTCTTTATTTTTGAAATTGCCTTTAAAACACCAGTTTTGGGAGTCTGGCAAATGGTGCAGTTTTATAGTTAGGGCTATGCATATGTGATAATTTGCTAAATAATATGATCATAAACCAATGTTTGTAACCTTTTTTCTCACCTGTTTAGATCTCCTACAACGAGTGTCACCTCAGAGACGAATTTCACACAGGATAGGATCAAAAAAGACAGTGTTCTCTTTCCTGGTGTGACTTTGAACTGCATGATCTTGACTGGCTGTTTGAATCTGTTGCAAACACTGAAGCAAAACGGACATGTCTGCAAGAGTAAATGTCAACAGTTGTTGTCATATTTTTTGTCTAAGACAAGATGTGTACTATTTAGCATAGAGGTGAGCACCAGAGTTACATCGTAATAGGGATTATATACATCATATTGCATGTGAAATTAAATCTATATTTGGTATTTTATTGCCTTTCTTGTGCATTGAAAATGTATTTCTGCTAATACCAATTTACTATGAAATGTATTAATAATCCTGTTTTTTTCTGTAATTTACTTTTATACAGACACAGGCTAATAATGACAGCACACATTTGAATCACAGAAGTATCTGTCCTTCATCTGTTGTCCCAAGATATGTGGCACAGTGCTCCCATATCACTATCTTTGTTCAAGTGGACTTCTGGAAAACACTTGATTGTATCTTCTGTAAGGCATGCAGCCTTGAGGGCAAAATCCTGCAAGGCTTTTTGTACAGAGAACTCAGACCTGCATTTCCAGAACTCCTTGTCTTCATTCTGTCTGAGAGCCAAACAAGCCTGATGTCCTCAGAAGAATCAAAGAAGGCATATGTCAGGATTTGCTATGTGCAGGTTTGCATGTACACCTATAGTATTTCTGTGCAGAGCCTTAATTCTGCCTCAGTCTCTCCAGAGTGGTGTGTTTCACAGCATCATCGGGGCCCATTCTTGATGGACAAAAATTATACAGTGTAACATATGTTTTAATGTAAATAAGCTTTGAAAAACAGATAAAACATTTAGCATTTTGTAGTCAGAGATTAATGCTGTGAAAAATGTGTTGAGACTAAAAAGAACGTGGAAAGATCTTGCCATGTATGTGCATAGAAATACTGTATTTTGAGGTTTGTATGAGCATTCTAGGCAAGACTCTCCTGTCACAACATATATATTTGAATGTGATATAGACATAAACTGTGATAAATGTAGATATCTATTTTTAACTCATTCTGTGAATTTATGAGCAGGGATGCAAACACTGCATTCTATGAATCGTATATGACATAAAGCACTTACCATAGTAAAAAAGGTACAGAAAGGTCTGATGGCTGACAAAATTATATCATCTCAGTGTACTTTCACCTTGCATGAATGTATGTTGTGTGCTATAACTAATTTTCATACCTTGTGAACAGATGGCATCAAAGATCTCTGCACAACATTGTCTAACAGAAGCATTTCAAACACAAGCAGGTAACATAGATTTATAGAAAACAGAGATGTCATTAATTGTAAGAAAAGCTTTTAATCCCTTAGTTTAAAGTTTAAAAAAGAGTAATAATTTAACACTTTATTTTTCACAGATGGCATCAAATTTACTGTTTACACAGGCAGGGTGGAGAGTGTGTGCCCTGCAGACACCAGCACATGGGTTGCAAAATATTTTTTGGCAGCTGTGTTACTACTTGGAATCTACATGACAAGAAAACAAATATCACCAAACAGAGTCAGTCCTGCTCATGACAGTAACTCCACAATGGTGATACTTTTTACCATGACATTACGCTGTTTTTCACCATTGGTCATCGTCCACCAGCGCTCTGAGTGGTCTCGGATAGCTGCCAGGATTTCTTTTGTCGTCTGCCTCTCCTTTGCTCTTGGGAGAACTGTGCATGTGTTAGTAGCCTGGAGAGCTTCTCATACCGTCATAAAACTGTTTTGTCCCATGCAGCAGCAATTAAGGGCTCTGCACATTACTGTGTTGTTTATCTGGTTGACTTTCATCTCTCCTATTTCAAATAAGAATATCAAACAGTGGTTTGAAGATGAACTTGTGGAGGGTAATGTGGGATCAACACAAAGATCCTGGGGTGTGTTAGAGCAGATACTGCCTACTTTGTACTGTGTGTTGGTCTCACTTCCCAGTTTGCTTCAATCCATGCTAACTAAACTGAATTTGCTGAGTGTCCTCTTACATGTGCAACTAGTAGCCTGTCTACAAAATTCAAGGGTACCAAGAAAATATACACTGGTTATTAAGATCA